CAGTGTCACTGGCCCTCATATGTGGGATCCAAACCGGGGCCCTCTGGCGTCCCAAGCCAGCTCTTAACCAATGCGCCACTCGGCCGGCCCTCTTGATTGATATTTTTAAAAGTCAAAATTAATTCAAAAAACAAATTTGAAATGAACACAATATCAGCACTTTAAATTAAAAACAGGATCTAAAAGGGACAGATTGGGGTGAGATGAGTGAGGCTTAGCCATGCAAGTACAGGGTCAGATCCTGCCTTTATCTAAAATTTTAAAATTTTGTTCATCATAGATGTTTTTGCGTTGGTCTTGATTCTTTTAAATACTAAGATATTATTCATTGTGATCACTGAGCTTTTCAGCACCCCTTAGGTTTTGCATGCAAGGCAAGGGCCTCACTTGTTCCCTTTGGTCCAGCCGTGCTCCTTAGGCTGGATAGCGTTTTCCATAGTGTTACAGACTTGAGGCACTAGGTTAGGGGTTGATGCTGCCAGTGATGCACAGCACAGTGTACCAACTCCTGGGATTCCCAGGACAGTCACGCAGAAAGAGAAAGGGACATTAAAGAGGATGGTAAATAGTTGCCCTTTTTTCTCCTGTTTTCTTCTGTGTTCATACATTTGCTTTCCATGTTTGCCACCATCTCTATGTCTGATTGTTGCAAAGGGGAGGGGCTGGCAGAGCCAGTCCTAGGGAGGATAAGGGAACCCTAGTCTGGAGAGCATTGCTAACACCCGCCTTCAATACAGGAAATAACTTCAAGGATGAATCTGCAGAGCTGTTCCTACAGGCCCTGGCGGTAAGAAGCAAAGGGGTGGGTACAGCCGAGCCAAGTGGGAGATGTCCCTGGAGATCTAGGGGACCTAAGGGTGGCCCTGGGCTTAGGGATATGAGGCCACTTGCATGGTTTAGGGAGCTGCTAAGTGTTTGGGTTCAGGCAATGTTGACAAAAGCTGCAGCAAGTGGTAGGGCTGTATGGATGATACTAAACTCTCCCAGTTGTCATCAACAGTTAAACAGAAAATGAACAAGACATTATCTTCAGTGTAAGAACCCCAGTCCACCTAATTTTGGGTGTTTGGGACACCTCTGTCACACAGCCCTGAGGTAAGTGAGGCATTTGCAGTCATACAGAAAATTCAAATTACCTCTCTCCACTGTTTATTTCTCTAGGCCAATTACCGAATTAAGATAGTGGATCTCAGTCACAACCAATTCTCTGATAAGGGCGGGGAGCTCCTGGGACAGATGCTGGGTGAGTCCCCACAGAGGGAGGGGACCAGCAAAGGAGAGGGACTTGGTGGACAATCACTTGTCAGAGCTGCATTTCCTGTTTGTTATTGTTAGTAAGTGCTCTAGTTATAAAAATTATGTAAACCACACCCAAAATACATTTCAAATGTGGGAAGTAAAACTTTAAAATGATTAGAAGAACATACAGAGAAATAACTTGCTAACCTCAGGGAGGCTAAGGATTATTAAATATGCATAGTGAGTATAAGCTGTAACAAAAATGATTCATATATTTGACAATCATAGGTTTCAAACTTGCCTGTGATACAAGACATTGTGGGGCAATGTTAAAAGACAAGCAACATTTGGGAGTAGATATTTGCAGCATTTGTATAATATAAAAGATTAGTGTTCAGAATGTTGACAAAAGATCCTATAGATCAATTAGACAATGCTGAGACTCCAAATAAAATAATGGTCAAGGCATATGAACGGTGAAAAAAGAAAGCCAGTGCCCAAACTCGTTAGTAATTAGAGAAATGCAATTAATAAAACAACAAAAAGATTCCCCTGGTCATCTACCAAAGCTGCCCAATTTTCAAGTCAGAGAATACTCAGTACAGTGAACACAAGGGAGACATAAGAACATTCATAAGCTGCCAGTTAAAGGCACTTTGGAGAGCAATTTGACAGTATGTGGTAAAATTGAAAATGTAGGAGGTCTGACAATTAAGTTCGCAAACTCATCCTAGAAAACACCTCATTGCTGAATATCACTCTGGTCACCTTTGAAGTCCTCCCCTTGAGAAGCTATGCACTGATGCCAGCACCTAGTCCACTCTTCAAAGCAATTTTGGAACTCTTTCTGGAATGGCCATCAGAGCTGTCATCGTATTACCCTTGATGTCCTGAATTTCAACAAAATGTCTTCCTTTCAATATTTCCTTTATCTTCGGGTAAAGAAAGAAGTCATTGGGGGCCAGGGACGGTGTTTCAATACAGTTATTTGTTTACTAGCTAAAAACTCCCTCACAGGCAGTGCCATGTGAGCTGGTACATTGTCATGATGTAAGAGTCATGAATTGTTGGAGAAAAGTTTAGGTCATCTAACTTTTTCACGCAGCCTTTTCAGCATTTCCATATAGTAAACTTAGTTAACTGCTTTTCCAGTTGGTACAAATTCATAATAAATAATCCCTCTGATATCAAAAAAGGTTAGCAACATCATTGCAACAATGTTTGGGAACATAATAGTCAGACTTCGTATGTAGAGACGTCAGGTAGGCGAATTGCTTATATGAGTTTAGAGCTTGGTCAGGACTAGACATATACATTTGGGAGCCAAAGGCATATAGACGTATTTAAAACCATGGGACAAGATGAGATTGTCAAGGCAAGGAGTGTACATAGAGTTGAGTAGGTGGCCGTCACGCTGACCCTGGTCACTCCCACATTTTTAGGTGTCACAGAGGGGAAGGAGGAACTTGACAAGGAGTGCTCAGTCATATAGGAGGGAAAGAGAGGTAACAAGGAACCACATAAAGGAGTATTTCAAGCAGGGAAAACTGGTCACCTGGGTCAAGTGTTGCTTAGAGGTCAAATAAGGTGAGTCCAGAAAAGTCGCCACAAAACGTGGTAGCTAGTTGGTGACCTCATTGAGCAGTGCTGTGTTAGTGAAGTGGTTGAGGATGAAAACCCAGCTGGAGTGGGTTGAGTTGAAAACAGGATGCAGCGAAGTGGAAATGGCAATTCCAGAACCTCCACTGAGACAAGGCTGGAACAGAAAGACAGGTGAAAGGGAGGACGGGGAAGGTTTCTCAGGATGGAAAATGCTGGGAGAAGAAAAGAGGAAGAAAATGGATGATGCAAAAGGAGGAGTAGATACTTACGGGAGCAAAGTCCTTGAACAGGCCAGAGGCAATGGCACCCGGGATAAAAATGGAGGGGCCGCCTCAAAGGGCAGCAGGAACCTTCCATTCACTGACAGAGGTGGGGGGAGGCTGAGAGTGGGTGCAGATCAGGGTAGGCTGTAGAGATTGCATGGGAAGAAGAAGCACTCCCATCTCATGGCTGCCATTTTCTCATTGAAGTATGAGGCAAGATCTTCATTTGAGAGTAGGGTACAGACGGACAGGTTTCAGGAGAGGGGAAAAGGTATAAAATAGCCTTGAGAAGGGGAGGAACAAAGTGTAAAAGAGTTGTTGGGCAGCCTGACTCTCCCCATTTGAAAAAAACTTACTTTCAAACATTTTAAACTAGTTTTTGAAACAAATTTAAAGTGCGAGAACATGCTGTTTTCATCATACTGTAGATGCAGCTTTTAAAAATATTTATTATTATTAAAGTTACCAAGTATTACGTGATTCCCATGTGACAAGCATCATGCTAGGCATTTTATATCAGTCCTCACAACAACGCTTACATGGGTTGATATCTCCATTTCACCAATAAGAAAACAGAAGTAGGCAAAGGATAAGTAATCTGTCCAAGGCCACACAGCAAGTGAGCGGTGAGAGCAGGATGAAAATTTTACTTGCGTGGCCATTTAAGAGATGCAGGCGTGCAAGGTCTAACTTAAGTGAGGGAATTGGCAGAAAAGAGGGAACAAGAGAAGAGGTAAGAAGAGAATGAGGGAGAGGGAGGGAGAACGTTTGTTCTCAAAATAATAAAAGGTGTTGTGTCCTTTACTGAAAGTACATCCTGGTGATTGACATGAAAGAGACATGATCAATACACAGTGCGCAGTCCATTAAAAAAATAGAATAAGGTGTTTTCCTGGGCCTGAGGCCTGAAGGCGATTCCTCTCATTCAGTAAAGCTTCAGAACTGTTTTAGACTCTTCTTCAGTGGTGTCCTCAGCGTACCTGCCCTCCGCAGATGAAAATAACGATGATAATGTGTTTAAATAGGATGTTTCCCCATCCCTGTGTAGCATGTAAGCACACGTATCTTTAAGTTTCAAAACAAAAATTCAATTTCTCTGCAAACCGGCTTCTAGACAAGCCTCGCCACTTTCAACTGTTTGTGTCTCTAGAGCTTTCTGGGGTAGAAATTCAACAGCCACTACTACTCTCATAGGTCCTCATGAAAAAGACACCATGTGATGTAATGTGCCATGTCCATCACAGCCTCCCTGTGTAAATACAACCTGTGTTTTCCATGGTATCGCCATCTTCTTTAATGCTTGTATAATATTCCACCAGATGGATATTCATGATATACCTTAACCTTCCCCTGTGAGTCACAAGCCTTTACTTTGGTAAGAGATAGCGTGGTCAACATCCACAAGCACATAGCTCTTCTCATATCCTGCCTCCTTAGGAAGATGCTCAGAGGCGATACTGCCGTGTGGCCAGGCATACACATTTTAATGGGAAAATATCTGTGACCAGATATTTGCCAAGTAAATTGTATCAATTTGCTTGCCCCCTGCAATAATTATTGAGTATGATCATTTTACTTCATCGTTGCCAGTCTTGGGAATCATCTTATGATTTTGTGTTTAAATGGACAACTGAAAAAATGTTACCTCAGTATTTTACTTTGTATGAGCCTTGAGCAATCCTTAGCGCCAGTGGCATGGATGTCTGCCAACTCTGAGGGTGGGTTCTCTGGGATGTAGGGAATGCTGAGTTGACTCTCTCCTCCCTCCAGCCCTCAATGTAGGGCTCCTGTCACTGGATCTGAGCTGGAACCACTTCTGCTCACGGGGAGCTGTGGCTTTGTGCAATGGTCTCCGGGTAAGGCGCTCCCTGGCAGTGGTGTGCTGAGCCCGGGTGAGGACGGCCAGGGCCTCCAGTCCCGCCATCTTGAACCTCTTCCTCATGGTCACCACTGGTGAGGGTATCCTGAGCTCTCATTAACTGCTCTTCACATTGTTGGTCTCCCAGAATTCCTGGATGCATGTTATTCTTTAGTATAAACGCTGGGGCCTATGTGGCATCTTTGGGGGTGCTTCAAGAGAGCAGTTTAATTATGGGATAGGGAATGACCAGAACCCAAAAGGAATGGGTCTCAAGAGTACTTGCGACTCTGAGAGACCAGCTGGGAGGGCTCTGGAAAGATCTGGCAGAGATCTCTCTTTCCCAGGGACCACTGAGCTCCTAGTCTGGATGCCAACACGGGATAAGAATTGGGGCCCGTTTGGCTGGAGTTGTCATGTCTCATGCAACCTTGATGCTGGTGCTCTTCTCCCCTCTTCCTGGAGGTTAATATGACCCTCAAGACACTGGATCTCTCCATGAATGGCTTTGGAAACGAGGGGGCTGCAGCCCTAGGGGAGGTCCTCAGATTCAACAGCTCTCTGGTCCACTTAGATGTCAGCAGCAACAATATCAACAATGACGGTGTCTCCAAAATCAGCAAAGGACTGGAGTCCAACGACAGCCTCAAATTTCTGAAGGTAAAGTCTTTACCTAGCTGGGAATGGGCCATTTTGTGTGCATGTGCGTGTGTGCATGTGCGTGTGTGCATGTGTGCGTGTGCGTGTGCATGTGCGTGTGTGCGTGCGTGCGTGCGTGCGTGTGTGTGTGTGTGTGTGTGTGTGTGTTGGGATGGGGGCAGTGGGGTATTGGGGCTGGATATTGCTAAAGAGAATCATTGGGAAAATCTACTTTGTGTTTCACATGTGTGTATATTCTCAGCAGTCTCTCTGCTGTAAACCCAATGTCACCCTCTGTTCTCACCTGGTCCATGTATGGAAGTCATCTCCTAACTGGTCTTCCTTCCTTTCGTTTGGGTCTCCTTCAGGCTCTTGAGCATAAATCTGACTCCCACCTCCAACCCCCTATCGACTCTCCTCCAGCCTAGAACCCCCATTGGCCTCCTGCTCCTCAGATCCAGTTCTCTCATCCCTGTGTGCTTCTCGGACCCAGTTTACCCCGTGCTTTTCTTGCTCCCGCCCGAGGCCTCAGGGTCTCCTTGCATCTCCTTCCTCCTGCCAGGTCCTTGCTCACACTGCGTCCCGGGCCTGCAGTGCTCTCTCCCCCACTGCCCTCCTCCGCTTGCCTTCACTGCTTCCTGCCTCAGAGGGCAGCTCGGGCACAAGTTCCTCAGGGAACTCTGCCAAAACCTCAGAACCCTGTTCACCCCTTCATGTAGAACTTGCCCGAGTTTCTCTTTATACTCTCACTGGAATGACTGTCTGTCCCCGACTAGTGTGAGAGCTTCATGAGAACAAATACTGTTTGCTGTTGCCCATTAGTGTACCCCCTTGTACTTCGCATACTGCTGGGCATACAGCAGGTGCCCAGTGACTAGTATTAAATGAGTGAATACATATTTCATTTTAAATTAATTTGCTTCTAGGTGTTAATTTATAACATAGAAGCTTATGGGCAGCTGGAAAATAGATGAATGATGCAGCTCCCTTTCTGGGGCTCCTCCCATGAGCCAGCTCCCATATCAGGGGATTGCCTCTTGACTCACAGCCCACCCCTTTGAAGGGGGCTCCATTATTCCACTCATCAGATGAGAAAGCACGCTGTGTGACTTGCTCAGGCCACACAGCTAACGGGAAGCAGAAGGCAGTCAGCTCTACCTGGTTTTCCACTGCAACTCTGACTTCCGCAAAATGTGGGGATGGCTGAGGGGGGACCGCAGATGTGGGGGTCCTGGCGGAAGATGAATATCAGTTAGGAATCGGTGAAGGTGAGCTGGACTCTGAGTGGACAACCACCTTAGAGCTGCTAAGGTGACAAGAGGAAGTCGGGTTCCGATGAGCGGAGGGAGCACGGTGACTGCAGGCCACACCAGACGGCCATCTAGTCACCAGGAGAGCTGAAAGTCTAGCCTGGCTGGAGTAGGACCAAGTGTCACTCAGAGAAGAGAGATTGACCCAGCCTGTGAATGATTCAGCCTCGGGGGCCAATGAAGTCATGGAAATTCATTGAACCTGAATTTTTAAAAACTAAAGGAGTTGCCTCAACAAAATGGTGGCAAGGGTTGACCCTGGTTATTAGGATATAGGTAAATTTAACATTTTTTTCTACCTCTTTTTCGATTTTTTTTCCAAGTGTAATAAATATATTTTAATTTTTTAAAAATGTTTTAAAAGTGAGAAAGAAAAAAAAAGCTTAAAATGTAACTCTCAGTTTGGTCATAGGTAGAGGCCACATCAATTTTGCCACCAGAATTATTACTCTCCACATCTGGCCCCAGCCCTCCTTTCCCTAATATTGGAAAAATAATTCCCCCTGAGAAGTGAGTCAAGCAAAGAATTATATATGCTAATTCCTATGAGAGCAGAGCTCAAATCTATCTTTTCTCACTGGAATGCATCAGAGCTGACACATAGTAGATGCTCAATAAAAGCTTTGGCCTGCCTCATCATGAAACCACCCAGCTGAAAGCCTTCAATAATAATAATAACTAACATCCACCAACTGCTTACTATTCATATGTACCAAGCACTTTTTTTAATGCTTTCCTTTCAAAATCGATTTATTGATTTAATGCTCAGAGCAGTACTAGGTGATAGTTACACAGTGATCAGGGAACTTATGCGAGGCCAAAAAGCTAGTAAGCAGAGCCCCTGGGCTCCATGTTCCCAGCTGTTAGCCTCTACACCTCATTTCCATGACTCCCAGCATGGTTGGGATAGTGACCTGAGTACTCAGCTAAGCCCACAAGGCCCTGTGTGATTGGCCAGCTCTGTGGCCTTGTTCTCTCTGTTCCTGCTCACAAAACATTTGCTATTGCCCAAACTCCTCTGCTCCTTGGCACTTGTCCTTCTTTTTGCTGCATTTTATTCCCTCCTCTGGTTCTTCCCCCCACCTTCTTCATACCTCACTAATCCCCATTCATTCTGTAAAGCCTGCTCAAGTGTCCCCTCCCCTACACTGGTTGTCCCTTTCCTTGCTCCTGCAGTACCAGTGTGTACCTCTGTCACTGTCATCATCACATTTCTGATGTCCTTTGCTTGTTTGCCTCTGCCGCCCTCTAGAGCATAAGCTACCTGAGGGTAGAGACCTTGTCATGTCTGCCTGTGCATCCCTCCGTGCTTAACCCAACAACTGGAACATGGCAGGCCCCCAACAAACACTGGATGGATGGATGGATGGATGGATGGATGGATGGATGGATGGATGGATGGATGGGCAGTGACATGGATAGGTGGATAGATGGGTGGATGAACAATGAGATGAACAGGCAGATGGATGATTGGACAAACAGATGAATAGGGAGACAGGTGTTTATAGAGAAATCTAGGTGGAAGACAGAGATTGTGATTTAATGGGAAGAAATGGAAGCCCTGCTCTGAGCCAGCCTCTCCCCATGTCCACCTCCTCCTGTCTTACCCCACCTCCCACAGCTTTTCCTGAACCCTATGAACATGAATGGGGCTATTTTACTGATCCTGTCCATCAAGAGGAACCCCAAATCCAAGATGGAAAAGCTTGACATTTCCGTAAGTCATGGAATGGTGATAGTTGCTCGCACCAGGAAGCAAGCCAGTTACGATGGCCACTCTGTGTCAGCAGGTGCCGACAGCTCCATCCCTCACAGGCCCTCATACAAATGCTCCATGAAAAGGTCACTCCTTCTGAAGGACAACCCTGCCCTCTCCAGGGGTCCTTTCAATAGGAGTAGCCATGCAGCCAATAACACCACAGGTGAAATCATTTACCAGCACGTGGGAACCCAGGACCTGAGCACCCGAGAGTGGGCCTGAGAGTAGAGATAAGGAAAAGACAGAAACAAAGGCAGGAGGACCCCAGAACAGAATTATTTACTGTCAGCTTTGCTGATGGATGGCCCTGGACCCCAGAATGGTTCCAGAGTCACAGG